CAACCTCATCTCTCCCCAACACCACAACTACACCTCTCTCCACAACCTCATCTCTCCCCATCACAACTACACCTCTCTCCACAACCTCATCTCCCCCCAACACAACTACACCTCTCTCCACAACCTCATCTCCCTCCAACACCAAAATGACACATCCTTCAACAGTTACACCTCCCCTGACTAATTCATCTCCTCTCTCAACTACATCTAACCCCACAACTGCAACTACACCTTCCCTTACATCTCCCTCCACAAACACATTTCCCCTCACTACTACATCTAATCCCACAGCCACAACTACATCTCCCCCCACAACCTCGTCTGTATCCACATTCCCATCTCCCCCCAGCACTACAACTGCACCTTTCTCCACAATCACATCTCCCTCCATAACCACAGCTACGCCTCCCTCAAGAACTTCACCTACAACCACAACTACACTTCCTCCTACAACCCTATCTTCCCCCAAAACCACAGCTACACCTCCCCTCACAATCTTTTTTCCCCCCACAAGCTCATCTCTCTCCACAACCTCATCTTCCCCCACAATCACAACTATACCTCCTTCAACAGTTATACCTCCCCTGACTAACGTATCTCCCCTCACATCTACATCTAACCCCACAACCACAACTACACCTCCCCTCACAACCCCATCTCTCTCCACAACCCCATCTCTCTCCATAACCACAACTATGCCTTCCTCCAGAACGTCTTCTTTCTCAACAACCACAACTACATTTCCTGCCACAAACCTGTCTTCCCCCACAACCACAACTACACATCCCTCCACAACCTCATCTAACCCCAAAACCACAGCTACACCTTCCTCCACAACTATACATTCCCTCACAACCTCTTCATTTCTCATGACCTCAGCAACTGTGAACAACAATGAAACAACAGCATCTGCAAGAGGTATAGGAATAAGTATGAATTCTAGGTTTTATGATTTATATAGTGCAACAAGAAAATGTTTTTTTTAAATATTTTTTTCTTTCCTGAATATTAGATCTTGAAATTAAGAACTGTTTGGAAACATTGTTCCACTAATTTGACATCCAGATATAATCAGTGAATAAATATCCCAGGTCATCAGAATTCCTCAACACTCAACCCTCTACCAAGTGGATTTATTTTATAATATTTTTTACATTTAGTAAATTAGTTAACACCCCTGTTTCAGAAGATGCTCATACTAATGTTTGTAACTATATCTGTGTTCTGGCTTGTTTATTCTGCTTCGGACATTATTGATGTCATTACAAAAGTATGTTTTTTTCCAGGTCAATGTGATGGCTATAAGTGTTGTCCTGGCCAGAACAATTCATGTGTACAGTCCAAGTGCTGTCCAGCAAAACGCTGCTATTGCGATGAAGCATGCATTCATTTTTCAGACTGCTGCCAGGACTATGTTCCTACATGTAAACCAGGTAATTCAGTGTTAAAGAATTTTAGACATGTGATCATCTCGTTTAACAAGAAAACATAACATATTATATGAAGAAAATCTGTGAGTTGGGTTATTTAGATTGGGTGAGTTAACTGTATACTCCAATATCTATGTAAAATGGTAACAGATATCTAATTATTTAGCAATCAAGATCAAAGAAATGGAGGGTTAACACAATTATGAATTATATCACATATCTAAACTTCTTGCTAAAAAAGAAAAGGCCATTTATAATACTGTTTCTACAGGACATTAGAGATTTTGTTGAATGGTTTTGTTTTTTTAACAGAAAAGAAGTAATGCATTCTAGGATCTCGTCCCAAAGTTACACCAAAGTACTGACCTACAGTATAGCCACTAGATGTCAGCCTCTGTGTTTAAAATGCTTGCTCAATAAAGAAGAAATACAATATACCTTCTATGGTGCTGTGGGTATTGTGTAAAAGGAGTTCCCTTAACACACTTGATTGAATCAAATGATTGAAGCACACTTTGTAATATTTATTGAAGTTAAAAACCTAAAATAAGCACATCATTAAAAGCAAACTAGATTAGCTAAATTCAGACTGTAGCCTACTACATTGCAACAACTGCATTGTCATATGACACCATAAACAATCCTGCCTATAAAGAACAAACCTTTTTATATTTATAATAATATTTTAATTTTAATAAGAATTGTTTTACTAGTAGTGTTGGTTTTCTACATACAAATAAGAGAAACAGTTGTATTATCTAAAAGAAGCAACATTTCTAATATAATTATTAAATTCTATTGTAAAATAAAATATATTATTCATTATTACTACATCTAATAATGGATTAATCATCAAACATATTTGCTGCTTATTCCACAGAAAAAAGTAAAAGGAAGATGACACAGATGCCTTAAAGCAATGCATGACACAGTGCTTGCAGTTCTTTTTGGTTCTAATGTCTTGTAACACAATGCATTTTAAGAAATTACTCTAATATGAAGTTCTTTCTCAATGAGTAATTCTATGATTCGTTAATTCCTCCATAACAATTACTGTAGTACGAGGCAGAGTTGTCATAAAATACGCAGTCTGTTGTGACATATAAAAATATAATTTGAGTCCTGCAGTATGGCTGAATATAACGTTTTATATTTTATTAACTACTTTATGAAACATGTATTTGGAATATAGTTTACTATAGCTTTAGAGAATTAAAATGTTAAAATAGAAATTTTATACTCAAAGATCCCTGGTCAAACATGTTCTAAAGAGTTTGAACTTCCTGCTGAAGAGAAAATTGTCCATGATCCAGTTTCTTGTGCTGCTTGCTGTGTCCTGAAAGAGAGAGAAAGAGTTTTGCCTAGCATTGCTGAGTAGAGCTCTGCAAGGAAGTTAGCATGTTGCTGAACTTCATCTTTTGAAGCAATCGTCTGCTTGGGTCTGGCAGCAAGTAAGACATGTTGTAGAAATGTGGTTCATCTTAGTTATAGATTTTTATAGAATATGCTCAGATATTTATAATGTCAATAAACAGAGACCATCTGACTTTATTTTATTGCTCAAGCAAAAATAACTTGGTTAAAAAAACACAAGATTATTTCTGTTGCAGAAAGAATATCTTGAATCAGAATTCTGTTCTTAATTGACTCACCCTGATTCGGTTAGTCCTGATTCAGGCTGCTTGCAGACATGTGGTGGGAAAAGTCAGATTGCCAGTTAAGCTGGAGAGAGAAGGTACTATCCACTCCGCAGGTCCTTTATTGGTTACTTGTCCTGCAGTCTATGGACAGTGACCTCTGACTCATTGTCTTGGGTAGAAGAGAGATAGCAGTCTGAAGGAAGACAGGCTGCACCTTATGTCATACCTTAGTGTTTCAGAATGAGCACAATTTTACAACTTGTCTGTGTTAAAGACCTGGAAAATGGTTCTTTTCAGAAGAGCCCCCTTTTCACTGCATTACTATGATTTTAGACAGAGGCCCAAGCTGCGTGGTCAGTGTAACAGAAAGATAATTAAAAATATTTATTCTTAGTGTATTAATATATCTTGCATGCTGCTATACAATCTTGTGTAGAAAGGAAGCAAGAGTCTAGATAGCACAGAGAATGAGTTATAACATCTACCTATGATATAAGAGTTATAGACAGACATGCCATCTTTGAGAAAGCTAAGGAAAGGAAAAAACATAGCTGTCAGTGATGTCAGGGATGGTTGTGAAGAAGATTTCCTAGACAAATGGGATCAGCAAGAAGAAGAGTGTGTGATGAGAGAAGGAGAGCAAATATAGTGGAGTAAATACTCCACTGGTTCAGGTACTTCATTGTTGAGTGCTTAGTGAAACAAGAAGAAAGATTAAAAGAATAAAAGAAACTCCACGCTCTGGTTAATTAGTGTAGATAAGAGTGTTTTGAGTCATGATGATTATAGTCAAAGGGACAAAGATGGTTGAATACTCCATGCTTTGGTTAATTCGTGTCTAAATAAGAGTATGTTGTGTCATCGCTATAAAAGTTGCTGATGTGTTAAGAACAGACCAGGAAAGACCACCAGAAGCAAGACATCCCTTTAGTCTTGCCTGGATAATGACCAATGTAAGAGATCTACTGTAGATTTCCAGAAAGAGTCCAGATGAATGAGTGAGAAAAGACAGACTACTTACAACACCAAAAATAACATGATGCAGCTAGTGTGGGCTACAGGAAGTAAGATGTCAAGTGGGTTGGGCTAGCAGTGTCACAATAGCAATTTACTCAAGCTGTCAAATGAAGCCAGAACCCTTGTTTGCTGATTCAAAGTTACAGTATGTGTCTATGTACATTCAACAGGTGCAAATGCCACAGTATTTACCGTAACTTCTAGGGGAAAATATTCTCGTTTTTTTCAAGCTTTGTAAACATTAATTTATATTGCTGTAGAGTTCTAATTGTCTCTGGAAAATCTGGGCATTTTTCATTTTTGCCACTCATTTGTAGTCCTTCTAATTATATTGCTAATTAAATACTAATATTAATGCTGCAGGACTCCAGATGCTGTTAACAAAACAAAACTGATCTGGCTCTGCATTTAATGCTGCTTCTCTTCGATGAAGATTTCAGTATTTCAAGTACAATCTCTCTAGTGTACTATAATATACTACAGATGGTAAATAATGTTTTGTTTTTCTAAACTTTTCTAAAAAGTGCAGCACAAAGAATTCTGGAAAAGAAACAAAAATGTTAAGTCACAAAACAAAGAAAAGATTACATTTTGAATAATTAGAAAATGTTAATGCTGGCTTCTGCATTCTTAGAACAGTATTTATAGTATGGATTCTACAATTCAACAAAGGCATACATACTGTACTTTGTAAACATTCATCCATTACTTTTGTGAAAGTCCATGACAACCACAACTTCTCCTGAAATGCAACAAAAACAACAATAGCTTTAACTTCAACCACAGCACCAACCACAACTCAAGCAAAAACCCACCCGCAACATCTATAGTCACACCCGTGAGAAGTACAACAGTGCCAACTACAAACAAAACAACTTTGTTTTAAAAAAAAGTTAACCAATATCACAAGTTCACTGATGTACAGGAGATTCAATGCATCTTCTGAAAAGTCAATAATGTGAACAATTCTCTTCCATCAACTTTCCCCCTTTTTGCTTTCAGTACCTGGTCCCATTACCAATTTAACTGCAAGTAACATCACCACAAGTTCCCTGCTTCTGAGCTGGACAGCTCCATCTGGAAATGTAGGGAGCTACAGAGTTGAAGTCAGTGGACCGAC